GCACTAGACTTAAGCATGCTGCAGGATCTCTTACATAAAGGTGTCTTACTCTAAAGCCTAGTTAGCAAAGTCCTCGTGTCACATGAGGAAGTTTTCATCTGCCTTTTGAGGATGTGCTTCACTGCCACTGCATTCAAAGTGGGCAGCAGTGCTAGCTCCAAAGATTTTGTCAGTTTGAAGTTTTACCACAGCACTCTAGTCGAAGTGCCAGAGATCCATGGCAAAATGAAGGTCTGAAACTATATTCTGTATGTACATTGAGTAGGTAAATTATGTAAGTACCTTGTGAAATTGTATCTCACTGATAGAATTCTTCACATTTTGTTACTTGGTGCTCTCAATCTGTAGAGACCATTGACATCTTCACGAAAGATACTGTCCAGTGCCTTGAGTAAACACTACAAACTCTTTACAGACATTCTGGACAACTCGTACAAATAATGTAGGTATACTGTCACCTGTCACCACACCAAAAAGCTTGCTTAGTGTATCCACCAAAGAGTATTATCTCCAGCTATAGGAGGTAAAAGTCTCCACCAATAATGCTGAAACACATTATACATGGTGTAATGGGCATGAAAGAACAACTTTTTTTCCACTTCACATCACATCAGACCAACCATTCTAGAAGGAACACAGTAAATACACTCTATTTGTACTGCTGTCACCTGTCTTTCTTCAATCTGCCATCCTTTTGTGTCTTCCTTTAATGGGAAGAATCTGATGACCCAGCCCAGGCAACAGAAGTAAACTCAAGCGTTGGTTTTCTTTGCTAATGTATTCAGTCATTTTCATGACATGGTTCTGGGATTCAGCAGTCAAGTTTTTGGATTCTCATTTCCTAGCAGTGATCCCTACCTATCTTCTGTCATTACCCTTAGTTTATGCAACTCATCAGTTCTGTGGTTTCCTCCAGATGCAGTTCAGCTGAAGAGAAAACATAAACAGCAGAAAGGCACTTACTGCGATTTGGTCACAGATACTAACATTTCCATATACATCTAGGTCACATTCACGCAGGTATGTTTGTCTTTATATTTATAGAGTTGTTTTCTCAGAACCTCTTACAGGCACTAAGTGGGACCCTGCTGCACAGGTAGGCAGATGTTTTCAACTACTGTCAAGTCAGGTAAAAAGAAATAAAATCCTTATTACAGGAATGTGTTCAAAACAGAAGTGAGGAAAGTGTCAGAAGCTAGGCTGAGCTTTTCCTTATTCCTTATGAAGACGACATAGGAGCAGAGAGCAATATGAGTCTGCAGTGGATGTGCAGCACTCCAGTTTGCAGTTTAAACGTGCCAATGGAAAATGCAACATTCATTATCAACAAAGGATGACTGAATAATTTGTTGCTTCAGCTGTTAAGGCTTTGGGATTTTTTTCTGGTTCTGCTCTTTCAGCTCCTCTATACCCTCCCACATACTTCTAATTTTATATATAGCCAACACTACCAGATGTCATTTTGTCATCTGCCACTAATACACCATCACCCTTTTCTGATGAGGATTTTGCTATTCCTAATCATTAGGTTATATCTAAGGTTTCTGGCATTAGGAAAGCTCAGAAATAGAGAGAGGTGTAAAAAAACAAAGTCTGAACTAAGACTCTATAAATGTTAACAGCTCTTTCATCATGTTTTTCGTTTACTTGATAAACAAAGCTAAGGGGAACTAAGCCATATATGCTGATCTCTCTATTCTCCTCTCAAAAAGAAGATCAATAAAGAAAAAAACACAATACTTGAAAAGCACACTGCTACCCTCCTATGGGACAGGATTTTCTATTTTTCTAGCAATAGAAATCATATAATTTGAAAGACTGATGGTGTTTGTGGAAGGTGGAAAAGATGATTTGTCTTCTTTCTTCTTTTTGCACTTTATCTCACAACTCAGCATTCTCAGTCCCAAAGAACAGTACTGTCAGAATGGTATGTATCACTGACAACAAAATAAACATAAACAGGACCCGAAATATAAACAAGTCTGCAGATGGAAAGAGTATTAGGAAAGCATCCCTGGGCTGCAGAGAGATGCATGGACAAAAACCCTTACAAGATGCCTTTTTCAAATATTTATCCAATTATCAACACATAAATGACCAAACAGATGATCCACTGGCTCAGCATATAAAAATAATTCATTAAGACAATGACGCTTGAAGGGACAGGTTTATTACATCTCCTACACCTTTTTGTTTCTGAGCTGGTGACCAAAGCAGTAACAAAAACCTTAATCCAGAACACATTTACAGCAGATACAGTTTCAGGTTCTGAAATGAAAACCACAATGTATTTGTGCTGTTAATTAAAATGCTATTTGGTTCTCCTCCCTTCTCACCTTCTAGAGATGACTCTCTAGCCTTGCAATGGCATTTTCCATACAGTAATGTTTAAAAAACTACACTGAACACAACATAATCCTAAATAATAATTCATTTTTAATTACATGGTATAGAATACCTTGCAAACAAAAGACACTCATTAAGATTTATTGACAGGTACTGTATTTTTTGGCAACCTTGGAACAAACCAGAAAAAAACCCAAAGAATTATTCTATAACCATGAGGGAAAGAAACATCCATCGAAATGTAGAGGATTCATCTGGCAAAACTTAAACTAAAGAAAAAAATCCACACTTACAGCAGATTTTTTGTTTTTTAATTCTTAGTGCAAGAAACATAACCAAGTTAATCACAGAATCAGTACTAATTAAGAATATGGAAAATTCTCCTATACAGAGGTAGAATCCAGTGCACAAGGCTAAAACGATATTCAATAGTCTAAACAAGACTGAGCCAGGTTTTACGGAATCCACTTTTTAAAGTATCAGACTGTATGTACATACATACAATAAATAGACTATACAATCTTTAAAGTAGTTTAATAAACTTCACAAAAATTATAGTTGATGCATTGAGATCTTTACATAATCCAAAGTTCTTATCTCCATCACCCAGAAATGGATAAAACCAATATTCCTGATATCAAGTTAAATGGAAAATAGTTTAGCAAAGTGTTGATAAATCAAAATATTTTACATATTTTAAAGCCTAAATTTATGCTTATAAAGGATGAGTTTCAAATGCTCTGAAAATGTTCCTTTAGATACTATCTGTAAAGAGGTTTCAAATGCTGTAATTTGCATTTGTATTGTTATAAACACTTTCCTTACATTCCACGTTCAAGGGAAAAATGGACTTGGATACTCACAGTTCTGATGCATTGGCACAACAAGAAGTAATGAGAATGAGATTATTTTAAAGGCCCGAAGGATGTCAGGAGAATTTATGGACAAAACCTTCATGTCTCAAACTACACAAATCACATTAGAAAGTTAACAGAAAACTGTTTGGTATTACTACTTCAATCCTGTCAGTGCCTCTCTGCCTGGAGGCATCGGATTAGCATTGCACTGGAAGTCAAGTGTGCAGCTCTGGGCCCCTAGGTTTGCTACAAGCCCATAGGGCTTAATAAAACAAATACGGAATCTTTATGGTTTACCACAGTAGTGCATAAATCAGGGACGTCTGTTGCCATTCATTTCAGTGATAGTCACAAAGAAAGGATTTCAAGGAACTGCGAGTTGTCAGCTCTATCTGTCTAAACCTTGCAAAAGAAAAAAAAAAGGGGTGGGGGGAGAAATCACCCTGGGAAATGATAAAGCAAATATGCTGATTCTGACAAGTTATTTTCTACAAAAGTTTCTTACAAATTCCAAGGGGGCAACAGCCACAGTAACAGGGAACTAGTAACAACAACAGAAGAGCATAATAATCAGAGTTGAAAATTATGTTCACAGTTCGGTTACTGTTAATTTCTATAAGCACCTAGGTTGAAGAACACGAGGGTTTGTATTTTAGCTTCAAAATCAAATCTATTTGTGACAAGTATCTTGTTAAGATTTCCATCCTGCTTTTCTACAGGCCTTCTCACTGGAATTATTTTTTTTTAATTATTTTTTATTTTATACAAACAGACTCACTTTGATTTAAAGTAAACATATAAAAATTGAGAATATTGCTTGCAACAATGGACCTGGAGGTGAAGGAATGAACTAGTCAGGCCATACAAAACCAAAATAATCTCCCTCAGAATGAATTCTGCTAATCTCCTAATGCTATGAAAATCTGCAAAAAGGATCACAAGATCTGTTGCAAACTTCAGAGATTTGGCCCAAGTCTTATCATCATCATCTGAATATTTTAATAACTGTATCTTTATATTAAGGAAAAATAAATGATTCCAAGAACTCAGGAAGGCACACGCACCCAAGTGTACTATAAATAAAACACATCATGAAATTACGAAGATCTTCTGATCCCTGTACACACTTTTGGTTCAGCACTATGGTCAAGTTCTCTCTTTTGAAATACAATAAAAGGCATACAAGAAATATAACATATGCATAATAATTATGAAGAATAATGCTAATAAGACAGCTTACAGAGAAAAGTGCAGTGAAAAAACCCAACGCTATTTATTCAGGGGCTTGTGCTACTGTAAATACAGACTTCGTATTTCTTGCTGTGCAAGGGGAAGAATTTATCCTGGAAAGCAGCTATGAGGAATGCAAAAAAAAAAAAAAAAACCCAGCAAAAAAATAAAAAAGATATTAAGAGAAACCTTTATGATGGAACTCTCCCAACTTCATTCCTCTAGTGCACAGTCATCTGACTACATGGTTTGTTTTCATGCTGCCATTTCTCTTCATGAGTACAGCTTATAGAAAATGGCACAGTTCTTAAATATATTTCTGCCTCTACTTCTTTATTTTGTTTCTTCTTCCAAGCACCTGATTTGCTGTTTCCTCGTAAAAAGGGTAAAGCTGTTAGCACGAGTGAGAAAAAAATTGTTGCCCATCTTCTCTCCCGAACACGGCTTTCTCCATTCTCCTTCCACTAGGTATTTATTCGTGTGCTACACAATGGGGAGGCACTGTAAAGGCAGCTTGACAGATTTAAAAATAAAAAAATCAAAAGTCTTTTTTCTTTAGCCCCCCGCCCCCAGCCCACCCCGAAAAAAAATGGATGGATGAAACAGTACGTCCATTGGAATATCCCAGTCTCCTCTGTTAGGAGATAATAGCAGGGGACCATCTAACCACAGTCAGATTGTCAGCACTGACTGACCGTTTCTTTGCGGCTTTCCTGAAGTCCTTGTATTTATCTTCACACAAGCGGGAAATGGCCTGTAAGACAAAAGAATGAAAATACCTCAATTGCTTTGACCACAGCTCTGCAGGTAAAATAAAACGAAACACATTTCTACGTACAGGTAGAATTACAAAAAGTCATTTTGTTAAGCTAAACACGTGAAGAGCTTCTCCCCACATCCTCTTTCTTGTTTCATTAACCTTAAAAGAAAGAAACATGCTGACATTTCATTGCCCACTGAAGCTGCTTCTGAAGGACTCAGTGAGCATATCTCAAGCCTGTTCTTCACAGGTTAACCATCACAGGTCTCATCAAGGGAGCTGACAAAGCTTACCCACTGCGATATGGAAACTCATACATAGCACTTCATTGGGGAAAAAGTAGCGGAAAACTTAACAAAACAATGTAAGCATATTAGAGAATGTATAGAGAGGATGGCTCATAATTTTTTTATTTCCTAAAAGATCTTGTAGTAATTACATTTTTCTCTACTCATAAATGGTCTGGGAGAATACTTGCCCTACTTTGCTTACAGAGGTGATGTTTCCTTGCATTTCAGAAAGGGTGACTTCTATGTGATCAGGCTACCTTATAAGGTCCCAGTGGGAGGTGCAACTCATGTTCAGAATAATTTAATTTGCATTAAAAATACATAGAAATTTTAAAAACCTTTTAGAGACACAAATATTATTCAAATATTGACTCCTATTATACTATACTGGAGTTAACATTTTGTGTTTCTTCTACTGTTTTTAGCTGCGTTTAAAACAAGTATTTATTATAAACCTCATATGCACAAACACACTGTGCCCTAAAATAGCAGGTCTATTAGAGTTCATATGGTTGGGACAGGCTATGGTTGGCACCAGTAGGGATGTTAACTCCAGCATCAAACACACAGAACTGCAGAGAAAGCTCATTGCAAGGAGTACTCAAGGTCAAATTTAAAAAAAAGAAGATGAACTAAACCAGTACTTTTATTTACTCAAGAATGCTTTTAAATTGGGTTTTAAGATAAGGTGTTTAATAAAAAGCACTGCACAAAGCCAGTACAAGTGTTTGACCATAAAACAAGGCAATACAAATAAACAGCCTGACTCCACTAATCATCATTTACTTTCTTGAGATTTCCTTCTATGCTGCAGCAAGTTGCAGCAGCAAATTTAATTTTAGTAGTCCTGCATAGACCAGAGGCAGGTATGACAGAAGCACACAACACGTACATCTGAGAGCAAATTCACCTCATGCTTTAGTCAAGCAGGCCACAAAAAATCATTGTATTAAAAAACCAACAAAACCAAACCAACACAAAACCTACCACCACCACCAAGAAACCAGTTGCTACTTCTAAGTTGGAAACTGAATTTCCTTTTGTTAAGGCCATTCTTGAACAGTTTCTTTTTTTGGTGCACATGAAGAGCGCAACAGAATAAAATAACACGAATATTCCTGTTGCTATGTAGACCATAACTTAACTCATTTAAAACTGCTTAATAACATTTTAACTTAACCAGGGACTCAGTGGACTAAGAAAGTTCATGCAATTCAGTTGGATTTAAAATCCAACAGACAAAAAGTGTTTAATAATGAAATAATACGCCAAGGCAAGGCTTGGCAAATAAGCGTACTGAGGTGGAGCTCAGCTTCTTCCAGCTGCCAAATCAGGCTATTACCTTCGGCACCAAACAGCCAGAGAAGGTAATCACTTCAAAAATCTCTGTTTCACAGGAAAGTTTCTATTCTGGCACTTGGTCAGACAAAATGAAATTTTGCTTGGAAGTGGCACTTAGTATTTGGCATCTCTAGGCTCTGGTGATTAATCATACAGATAAGAAACACGCTGACTGATGTACCCGGTACCTAAAGATGCCTCTTCATCTTCAAATAATTTACAAAATTGACATTCGGAGCCTATTTGGCAAGTTACTTAGGCAACTTCAGCATAACATATGGGGAAACAAGACAAAAGCAGAAAATCGTAAATATTTAGTATTGTTTTTCAATTAAAATAAATCCAAATAGCTTATAGACACCTTTCTGTCATCTGATATTTCTGTTGCTTTTATTGCTAGAAAAATAAACCAATTTTTGCAAGGGACCATTTCTCATATGAAATCAAAACATTTTTAAAACCAGCAACACTACTCAATCATGTGAAAATTTATTGCACTTGGCTGTAGTATCTGTAATCAGCTAGAAAAATGAATACATACATATTCTTCCATTATATATATGCACACAGAACTAAAAGTTAGTTCCTCTGCTGAGTTATATGACTCTAGATAAGTCTTTGGAGAAGGGAGAAAGACAATAGCAGTAGCAGTACAAATTGTGGCTGCATGCACACATTTGTGCAGGGTGGGAAAGCAGCAGGGCTGGCTATGGCTTCATTGCTTGGAACGCACAAAGGTACACAGCTGTGAGTGCAACACCCCCCAAAAAAGGATAAACCAGAAAGAACTTAGCAGGGACAGACAGCAGTAAGTTGGGAAGGGTTGTACATAAGGTAAATGGGGAGAAAAAGTAAATAAAAAAAAATCACTAGAACAACTGGAAGCTGTGATGATGTGGGTTCTCCTTTATTTATGGAGAATGAAAAGAAGAGCAACCAGGTTACTCCTGACAAAGAGCAGAGCAGTTTTGTTCTTCCTTCACTTCTTGGCTAAGAGGGTTCTGAACATACAAAACAGGCAGGCTTGCAATCAATGACTGCAACAGTAGGAATATGGAGGCAATTCTCTACCTTGTAACTTACATATTTTTCTCCTCTTTTTTGTCTGTTTGATCTATGGGTCTGTACCTCTTTAGGGTCAGGAAAATACAGGCTGTAGTTCAAAGTTTGAACTATGTGCTCAGTCTCACTATCCTAACAATAAAAAGCTCAGACAACATAGTTAAATTGGGAGTGAACTAATGAATGCTCCTGCAAAATCTAGTTTTGAAACAGGCACAGTGCTAAAGATCACAAGCAGAAATAGGGTAGGCATGTTTTGTAGACTTACCCCAAAGAGCAGAATCTGAATCATGTTTAATTCAGTATATGGGAGAATAACCAAGTGCAAGAGTAGGAAATTACAAAATAGTGGATTAAGGTTGGATATCTAACAACTTCTTGGCAGAAGAATCTCCCATATTAGAAAACAGTTCTCAGGAGAAGCAAAGGAAGCCTTGATATTTGACATAATTAAAAGGAAGGAGGAAACATGCTACTGTGTATGCTGGTTGGAACAAACAGCATTGGCAGGTGGACAGACTGGATGATCTAATGAAATGTTATTTTCCATTTTTAATTGGCACAATTCCACACAATGGGGTAAAAAAAAAAAAAAAAAGAGGGGTCATGAGAATGGTTTCTGGGTACTACAGCTGGACTGGTATAACAAAATCAGGACACTTTTAGGCCACAGGCTGGTGAAAATGAAGAAAAAAATACTTTCCTTTAGTCATTTAAAAGACAAAGCTGCTTGATTAAGTGTTAATTGTGGGAACACTGAATAAGGAAAAACATCCACTGCAATGCTCTAGTAAGTGGTGTTGTTTTTAACAAGAACTATAACCTCTTATAACACCTCTAAGCTGATGGATTTTGTCCAGCATTTCCATTTGATGAGGAACGGTATTTACTAGCCTTGTCCTTGGTCTTCCTGGGATTTTTTTTTTCATTACAGGTATGTCAAGGTCATGGTATCTGCAGAAATAGCAATGCAGATTCTGCCATGCCAGATCTAATACTCCTGCTGTAGATACATAAAATAGCTTGAAAAATGCAAAAGTAGCAAGAATGTGTTATAATATAACCATTTCTCTATGCAAAATCTTCTGTGATCTCCAGTGTCAGTAAATATGTTATTTTACATCTTAGGACTGAGCAAGGTCCTTTCAGTTTACCAGACACTGCATACATACATTCGCTATGAGTCTGTTGTCTTTCATCAAGGACTGCAGCTTTTCTCTCAGTATCAAAAATATCACAGCCTGTGCGGTACTACATCTACTCCACTCAACAATCCAGGCAACTGTTTTAAAAACAGAGAACTCTTGGGCTGAACAGCACATGAGAGACCCAGAGAAGAGCAGCAAATGCATTTTGATAACTCTTGGCAAGGTAAATGCTTAACTGCGCTCAAGGAACGAGGCTATAAATTATGCTGTCAACTAGTTTCAAGGGCACACTACTGACAACCAAATATTGCCAGGGAACAAGGCAGTTCCCTTCCTTCTGGCCACAGAACGGAGGCAAGGAGGTGGTAGATAGAGTCGATTTCACAGCAGATATTCCTTCTCTTCCCTGAAGAAGACATCCTCTTTGGCTAGCAGGATTACTCATAGACAACTCCTGTTGGCAGCACAAGGCATCCCCAACATGGGAAAAAATTTAATAATATGGATTTATTGAAAAATATTCCTTTCTTTTTACATAAGTTCAGTTAGTACAGAAGAACCACCAGTATTCTCTGGGTATTTACAGTAATTTCCTATTTTTTTTTTTCTTCAAAGGTTTTAGGAGCTACCGTTCTTACCTTCATTTGAAACCTGCTGTTACACAGTGTATGACATAGACTGACAGTGTTGGGAAACTGTGCACTAAATCTCTTCAAAAAGTAATTAACTCAATTTTAATATATGTAATGGCACTTGTTATCTAGACCTCTATAACTTGGTAAACCAACTCTTCTCATTTAGTATTACAATTCAAATGACTTTTCATTTTTTTAAATTCTCTTCAACAGAAACAAAATCTGATGCCAATTTACATCACACTCCATACACAGAATTACGTAACATCCTTAATTGCAGCTATCTGTGAAATTTAGAGTATTTAGAAAGAATGAAAAATACAACTTTGGTGAAATCTGCTTTGATTCTTTCTCCACCACTTTCTGCTCCCATTACAGTCACAAACAAGTCAATTAATCTTCCCACACACCACTTCCCCCCACAAAAACGTGTAGAGTACTGCCTGCCTGCTTTACAGGAGCACTCGGAGTTTCAGAACATGCAAAGCTCACTCTAACCCACAGGCAAACAACCTCTAGTGCAAAAACTGTTACATAAAAACACACAATGTTAAAAGCAGTTAGCACCTAATGACAAATTTCAAAATCAGTAATAAAATGTGGACACATTCATGCAATAATGTGCTTATTTGAAAAACTCAGAATGCTCAGGAAAAATAGATTCCAGCCTTGCAAAGCGCTCACAATTGGCCCTTAATTTTAAACTTCTCCCATGTCTGTAGAAATGCACAGTGCCCTGCATTTCACAGTCCACACTACCTGACATCGTGTTTTCAGCACATGGTATATCCAGGTCTCATAAGCATTTACACTTTACCACTAAAGACGTGCTCATTTCTGTTTTCTCATTACCAAGAAAAACACCATGTAACAGAAAAACACAGAGGTAACAGACTTGGATCCATGTGAAGTGGATCATTAGCAGATAACCAAGCACATGGAATAGTTATTTTCAGCAATGCTTGTTAGTATTCTGTCCTTTAAGGAAGATAATCAGTTTTCAGAAACCAAATGAACACACAAAACCAGGCTGCAAATAGAGTCATTGTAAAACTTGTGGATACTTTCATAAGGCCTATTCAGACAACTGGAACTGAAAAAGAAATGGTAAACAAGACAAGGTATGAAGCTAATCAGGCCAAAAAGCTATCCCCATGTCCATGAATACCCAAAGCATTAACAAAACAGCTGTAAAAATAGGGACACATGATATTCTAGTATCTCATGGGAATATTTGGGAAGAGATGGGAGAAGGGAGATACAACACAAAAATTCCAAATCCCCCTATATGCTTATCTGTGAGCAATCTAAAAAGAAAGTGTTTTACCTCAAGTTTATACGCCCTGTCTCTGCTGAGGGGCTCCAAAGGAAAACTCAGGTTATTTGCTTCTGCCAGGGAACGCAAATCAAAATAATACTTGGCATAAACACTGGAGGGAACATTAATATTGAACTGCAACAGCTCAAGAAACTGGCGTTCCAGCTCATTCCTGTTGAAAGAAAATAAAATGTGAAAACATATTTCAGTCTGTGCATTCTGGATGTAATTTACTTTAAATTGCAAATGGTATAAACCAAGTTAATTTCTTATTCTTGCCAGACACAATAACTGTAGCCTAAGTTTTGACCTACTCTACCAAGTTCTAATAGCACACATCCACCAGTGAGGAATATGAAAGATGCTGCACCTCACAGCTGCTACTGCAGTGCCAATCAAATCCAGACTCAAACTTTTGCTAGTGAAAGGGCACTTGTATCAGTTTAGCTAATACAACCTGGGAAAGAAGTTAGCAGGAAAAAAAATTCTTGTCGTTTCTGCTGTACCTCCACTAGGTGGATCTGCACACACACCACACAGCTATGCAAACACGACATGCAGGCATGCCCTAGATTTGCCAGACATCTGTCATAGATGCTGCAAAGTACTCTAACACCTAAATTACTGGAGAACTTATTTACTTTCTTCAGCCTTTCATCATCAATCATTTAGAACTAGTCATGGGAAACCTGAATTTTTCAGGTCTTATCTTCATGAACAGAATCAAGCAGTTTTTCTCTAAGCCATTCAATCAAAACTCACAGTGGCGATCATTTATTTTTCAGTATGTAAACCAAGGTGTTTGTCAAAATACTTGGTAGGAACAGAGGTCCTATTTGAGCTCCCACCCCATGAAAACTTCGGTATAGCAATACCAAATATACCACTATATGAGGAAGTATGTTAAGAAATAAGCAAATCAACAAAATTAAGCACTGGAAATGTTCATAAATTGCATGGTAACTAGATATCCTACATTATACTTATGCAGGGACATATGATATGTTCAAAACAGTGATTTCAAGATAGGAGAAGTAAAAAAATCAATGGGTTGTAAAAGTGGTACATGTCTGCTGAAGAGTATAGGGACTGCACAGCTGTGTCACCAGCAGGTATTGATTGACTACAATACTGCATTTAAGATACATTTTGACTGCAGTGTAAGTGTGCAGGCAGATGACAATAGAAAAGGAAGGATCTGGGGATAAAAGAAAAAAGTACCAGTACAGTAGTTTTTCAGCACTGAATTATTTTTCTTCTTCTCACTCTTCACTCTTACATCACTTAGAAAATAATCATTGTCCTTCCTCACCTTCACACTCTCTCTGCCAAAATTCTATGTTTACGTACTGATAAACATTAATTAAAAGACGAACTAAAAGCTGGATATGGACTCTCTGGCATGAAATCACTCTGTTGAAGATTCTAGCTTTTAAAAAAATCCAAATGAAAAAAATACATTTTAAGATGTCTATCAATAAATGCAGAAGATAATCTTTAAATGTCCTTTTATACTGTCAAGATTTTACTTTCTGCAAGCTAAACCTAAAGGTCTATGTTAATGAATAACATAAAACCTGTTTTAATGGAGGAAGATATTGGCTGTACCTCTTTTGAACAGCATTCCTAAATCTTTAAGAAAAACACACAGCTTCTGATTCTTACTATACCCTACCTTCTAGATTTGAAGGTCAGGTCAGCAGACTAACTACAGCTGAGAAAGAACAAAAAAATACAGGTATTTCTTCTTTGAAGTAATATAACTTAACTAACCACCATATTCTTCTTTCCCCATACTTCTCATTAGACTGCTACTTTAGCACGTGCTTTCCTCTGATCCCTCCTGAAATTCACACAGAAATGCAAGGTGATACTACATACATGACTACAGATACTGCACTTCAGTTCTCCGAAGTTAGCTTTTAGGCACAGTTCAATGTACTGGTGGTGACTGAGAAAACACCGAAGGAATGTGTGATGTTTTGCAAGATGCACTTACGCTGAATGATTGACAGAGGTTGAAGATTCTGACCTAGAGTTTTTCTGCCTTATTAATACAAAAAATGAAAGCCCCTGTCTTACATAGAAATGGACACTTCAAAATTGTAACACTGTACTGTCCCACCTACCTGAGAAATTATAAAAGAAAAACCCAATTCACACCAGGGGTAGGAGTTAAGGGAAAAAAAAAAAATTGGAAAAACTGGCAGCAACCACCAAAATCTTTTCTGGAGAATTCACAAGGAGCCCCAGACACAAAGCCCATGAGCCACATCACCAAGTACCACACAGAGAGCACAGGCTCCTCGAAGGCTTCTGGTTCTGCAGTTTGCGAGAACTCTACAATCTTTTAAGAAAAGGTTAAGAAGCTAAAATCTTTGAGGCCAGGGACTCACCACAGTTTGGCTTAAGGAATGTGGAGTGCAGAAAGAGGGCCGATGTTAGCACGGTGAGTAATGGTGTTACACAGCTCAAGTGCAACTTCTAACAGTAGCACCATCACTGTGTTTGTCAAAAACAATAACCTCTTTTTTTTGTTTCCTTTCACACCATGACAGTATGCCTCATCACCTGCCTTCAAAAAAAGCTCTGAGAATCAGCAATTTCAAAATTCATATTTATAACCATTCCTGATTAATACTGTTATATGGCACAGTCAAACCTGTCAGTCTGCTTCAAGCTGTTCAACACTCCAGCTCAGCTCCCAGCTTCAGAAATACTTTAAAAACTCCCAGATTTGCCTTGGAAGAGCAGTGAGGGAGGCCCTTACTGCCACTGAATACCCAAAGCATGAGAAAAGGATCAAGGGAAAAGCAGCTTTGCAAAATCATTCAGGAAACACTCAAAGAAGTCAAGGAAGAATTGTCAAATTGTTCTGCATGGAATAATATAGCATGCAAGAAATGTGAAGGGCCTGATTTTAGCTTCTTGTCATCTCTACCCCGCTTTTTATTTTGGAAATCTATTCTGTTGATGTTATGTCAGAATAGAAGCAGCATCAACCATCCTTAAAGCAGCTTATGTATTTTAAAACAGATACTGAAATGACATTACATGGTATTTTCCACTTCTATTTTGAAATGGGAGTAATGCAAGCTTTGTTTTTCACTTTGACTCAGGGAACAGAACCACCTTATCGCAAATTGCTTGTTAATACAAGATTTAGAGATAACTTTTCTAATACTTGAACAATGACAGCTACTCACAATTTATAAGTCTTATCTAGCAGTGTATGAGCATGCTTAATTTAAAGCTATCAGCTGACTCCTAACATTCAACCTTTCCCTTACAGATCATTTTTGACCAGCTATAAATCTGACAAACAGTGAACTATTAAGAAACAAAATGAGGGCTGCTTTAGCAAAAATGCTTGGCCTTTCACTGCTTTGAGATTGCAAACTGAGATTCAAAGAACATTCTGTCTGTACAAACATTTCTTCTCATCTACTTCCCTCCTTCCCTCTCCCCTCCTCCCACAGTGGTTATCCACAACAAACTCTCTTCAGCGGCTGTGATACTGACTTCAGGGACTTGAAGTGGGGACAAGTCTGTGTATTTCTCATTACAGATACTTAGCTCTGCTTAGAAGAGCTCTGAAACACACAGATACTGTACTAAACCAGCTTTTAAATAATGGTGTTGGTGGTGCTCATGTCAAAAAAAGGGGTGCACCAGCAGACTGAAAGCATCACTCTCCGAATGCACAAGCCACAGTGGCCTGTCAAGGTACCTGGACCCTAAGCACCATCCCAGCACCAATTCCAAACCGCATCCCTTGCAGTACTGCTCTTGCACGCACACCAGGTCAGGTAAGGGCACCTCAAAAAGCATGCGTGGTACGTGACTCAGCCCTGAATGTATAGATGATACAAACCCCAGGCTCTTCAGCCAATACATGCAATACCTGCTGAGCAACCAACCAAAAAAAAAAAGCACTGGTGAAATGAGCATTCATTTTAGTATTTGTAAGCATTAATTATGTTTATTCTTATTACAGTTCTTTTTCCTACTGTTGGAATATACTCTTAATATGACTTGGGAGTATCCACCCAGACATCATAACTCTCTATGCTGTTACAATGTGCACTTCTTAAAAATGCCATCAGAGAAAAGAAATGGAAAACCTGGAAATTTATCTTTGCAAATTAAAATACCACATTTTTAAGATCTTGGAAATGAACTTAGCAGCATTCAGTGTGGGGAAAAAACCCCACACCCTGAAAGCACTGATTTTGAATAATGGCAGTAAGTAAGAGGGTGATCATCTAACGGTCATTAGGATCACAACATGGTATGATCATTAGGATCACATGCAGGCTCACTGGATGTGTTTGGGGTTTTTGTCAAGTCATACGTTTAAATATTCTGCAGGTCTTTTTTCATCACTATGCATGAACGTCCAGTGGTAAAACACACTTCAACCAGAAAGCAAAAATAATTTATGTCTTCTATGTAAGCAACTGTCAAGCAGACCTCATGTCATCTATCAGCATCCACCATGTCTAGATAAAACACAAATACATAAACTTTATATAATTTGTGAGAGGAATTCCTGACCCCCTCATAGATACAGATCTTGGTATTCATTGACAAAGATAAACATAATGCACTCACATGTCTTCAACTGTGATATCTTTCAGGATCTGGCAGTAATCGACGTTCCACACTGCCTGGTCATCCCAAACTTTGGATGCCAGTAGAATTGCACCCAGTACAATTCGCTTCCAGTTTGCTGGACAAATATCTATCTCTGCATAAGTTAAAAGTCTTTCAAGGTATACCTGTAGAAACAGATCAAAATTGAGACTTAATCTATTTTGCTATTAAGTAGAAATGAAAAAGAAAACTGTTCTCATAAACCCGTTCCAGCAATTTTAAAACAGTAATCTGCTCTCAAGAAGATTCTGTTATAAAAACTGTAGGTTTAAATACATATGCTTATGCCAAGCTCAAGACTGGATGTGATAAATTCGTATTTTAGTTGGCCTTTGCCTTCTGATCATCTTACCAAAAACAAAACTGCTATTTTTCTATCTGTAATTGTTGGTAATAAAGTCACACATTGGAATTAATTCAAATGATAGCTTAAATAAATTACTAAAATAATGTTGTAAACAAATAAAATGCTAATTACTAATGAGGGAGGCAAGGGTATGTTACCAATAATAGTTACTAGCTATCATTATAAACAACTATAATCTACAGACAATTGTTTACGAGATACAGCATCATGTCACGCCAGGCTCCTCCGGCGAGCCTGTCTGAAGGTTCTGTAGGCACCTATAGGATGGATGGAGGAACAGTTACCACAGAAACAGCAAGCTGAACAGAGTAGAAAAGAATGTGTTAAGAAGGCAATCCACAACAGTTTCCTCTGGACCAATAACCTCTGGAGATGAGTAACAGTAATCCTGTTGGACCTACAAGAACTGAAAAGCTCAGGACACCACAGTCTGGCCCAATCTGCCCTACACCACCAACACAGGCTAGCAGCAACCTGAGCTCATATAACACACACCTCATCCAAGAGGTCTGTGTTATTTACAGTAACTACAGCATCATACACACACAACTTACGAAACAAGGGACCTTGGAGGGACTTTCTGAACATCCAGAAAAAGCTGCTGGAGGGGTGTGGGAGGGTGCAGTGTGACCCTCTGTTTCCAAACAAAGAGCTAGGTTGCCCCTCACCAACTGATGCTCCAGCCAGAGAACTATGGGTGAATACACATGCTGTGTCAACAGTTACTTGCTATTGATAACAGGAGCTCAATTACGTTAATAACAACAACAGACTAATAAACAAGATGCATTCTAAGAAACACTGGTTGTGGGTGATCTGTGTGACCCCCTTCTCTATCCCCTGTTAGGGATAGAGCAATTACAACAATTATGAATATTTACATGCAAGATGAACAAAACAGAGTAATTTTGCAATCCACAACATTTAATTGGTTTATATTATGCATATATTTATATTACATATATATTATACATATATTTAGCTGAGAAGACACATAATAAATCTCCTGCAGTTTGCCTAAGTTAATATTTTTTAGCACCTAATCAAATAATACCCAAAGAATAGCTAACATATCAAAATTCAATGTAGGATACATGCTGGTAAGGAGTGTAGGGGAAGGGAAAATGGAGGATATAGGCAATCCATTCTCTGCCCAGCCTGTATTTGTGCTTAAGACTGACCCAACCCAGGTGGAGGACTTTGCACTTGGCCTTGTTGAACTTCATGAGGTTTGCATGGGCCCGCCTCTCAAGTTGTCAAGGTCCCTCTGGATGGCAGATGAAATAAGACATTGAGCAGATGAACTTACACCTAAGTAAAAAGGGAGCATAAACTTGCTACTACCTTCCCACCAGCACATACTTCAGAAATCAGCTTTAAACATTAAATAGGAGCTTGATAAGACAGTATTCTTACACCACCTGCATTACCATATTTGAGCATCTTCCAATAGCATGTTGAAAGATACGAATAATTGCTCTTGAGTCCTTGGTGGTAACCTGGGCTTAACTCCAGACATCCTACTTACTGGAGTGAGGCTCTGTATCATCTTACAATAAAACCAAAGATAATAAATACCTCACCAGGAGAAAGGTGCTTAGTGTGACTTTTGGCTCCTTTCTTGAAAATGCCTTAGAAGTGAGCATTTGGTTATTTTCATTTTCTGTGGCCTTCCTGACTCAGTCTTGGGATTTAAATGTATGTGTTCAAGTAAGAGAAGACAGAAAAAGAGCAAGACTTATTTTTGTGGCAAACACTTGTAAAAGTTTATTGAGATCCTCAGCTAATGTGGGAATCCACTGTAATCTAGGACTTGTCTCCCAGATTTACACCTATGCTGTCACATTACTGTAGTTCTTCAATTTTCAATCCAGCTCACTCAGTTACACATGCAGTCTTTGTTCTAGCTCTCTCTAGCTCTAGTTTGGAGACAACCAAGTGACTCTGCAGATAGTGAAATTTAGGCAGAAGAAAGGCTGGTGTATACTTGAGCTCTCACTGTACTGATGTAGAGCACCCTTATAACATCAGTATTACACACAGCCAAGTGAGCTCTGTCTCCTATACAGATGTGAGAAAGTTCATTATTCCTGACAAGTAGAGCTCTCGACCATTGGTTTAATCTCAGAGCATTTCAATAAATTAGGCCAAGGTCATGGTAACAGCCCAAGCATCAGGAATTTGACACTGATGGAACATCAGAGTAAAAAGGAGAGAATGAGCCTTGCATGCACTCAACAGCCTACGTCACTGAAGAGGGGTGCTTCTGGCTGCTGCAAAGATGTGCTGAATCAGTACAGACTCTTGGAGAAGGGCCAGATGGCTCTCAGCCCATCTGAAGAGGAAGGCTGGTGGGGTGGTTAGTCACTATGCTACTCATCCCAAACAAACCCGTGGCTGGTGGGAGAACACCACCTGTTTTTGCTGGCAGAAGCAAGCGAGTCTTCCCACAGACAGGCAGGCAGGCAGGCATACTCCACCTCATTATAAAAATAAGTAAAAAAAAAATGCATCACTGAAAAAGTTGACCCTGTAATGGTAAATTCCATTTCTATGCAATTATGTCTATACATCGAATAGTATCTTAAACACAAGGGTCAATTTCTTGAATATGGGGTTTGTATCATACAGACTTCAGATTCTCTGCGTCTACTATACAGTTCAGTATATTCATGTGTTGTAATGAATTCCACTGGCTTAATTTTCACAGCAAAACACTTTCTACATTTTCTTTAGGACTAGCTGCTGTAAAGTTGCATAATAAAGCTGAATTTTATAAGCTTTATTACACTGTAAAAAAATAACGTAACTCACATGCCAGAATACTGGAAGAAATTTACTTATATGTCAAAAGACAAAAAAATGCAGAAGAAACAACATGAGAAACACTTTTTTTAAAAAAACAGAAGTCTGAAAAACTCATCTCCTCTGGATTATTTAGGTAGGTATTCTTTTATAGAACCAGAACCTATGAACTTTCAGAATCTAGAAGATGTAAGTCAAAATAAATGCCACAAATTGCCTCCACCCAGTTTTAACAGCTGCATCCACGCTTAAGAATGGAACTAAAGTTTAAAACAAGTTGAAGCTGTTATATCAATCTTACTTCAATTTAATTCATCTTTCTCAGTGCTGCTTCTGAAAGTAAGCTTCTGTTGCAAAACTTCTGAGCACTTCTCTATTACACATTCAAAAGTTGAAGGCAGCAGATTTATTCTGCCTTAATTCAGTACCTAGTTCTCCTCAAAAGCTTTAGTAGCTTTCAAGAGCCATCTTCATCACACCTATCATTACTGACTTAGTTCTATAGACATTTTTTTTACAGAATAGTTACAAGACTATTTAAATAAAAGATTAAAGTTACTGGTATGACATCAGCAGAAACTCTCAGTAGCTTCAGTCAAACAACATACTCTGGATTTTTCCCAGCTTGCAAAGAACAAGTATGACTTGGTGTTAACACCAACACCACCACAGTCTTCAAAACTCATTTGTAACATAATTCACTTTCTAGCTGAAATGAAAATGCAATTCCGATCTGGAAAGTATCAGTGGACATTGGTCCATCAATAGATTTTTTACTTACAAACTCAAAACCTCAGAACCTGATACATCCATTATTAGTTTACTCTGCTGGGAATTGAACCACATGGTTTTACATGACTGTCAGTCTAACAAGCTTTGATGGACAACACTTGCACCTCCACTGGAGACATTTTAATAACTTGAGCACACATCAGAAGGTACAGTGCACAGAGTTAAGATTTTAGAAGAGCAATACTGGATTATTATTTTCCATCTTTTCCCACAGACTTGCACTAAGATTTTGCAGTGACTGACCTTCACACTTGGAATATCAGCAAATTATTATTTAATCATAAGTGAAACCAGTTGGGTAATTTGCCTTTGTTAAGAATTAATTTATCTGAATTAAAAATAATTTAATTTTATTAATTAAATAAAATTACCACTCCATGGGTATAGATAATCCCAAATTGGCTTTGAGTTCAATGAACTCTGGAGCGGTTC